ACCCCGCCCCCAACGGTCCCGGCCGCCACTGCCGGCCTTGCAGCTCCACTGCCGAGCCCCATCAGGGGCCCGGCGGTGGACCTGCAAGGCCGGCGGGAGTGCAAGGAAGCCCCACGAAGGCCCTCCCTGGCCCCAGGCAGGCAGGGGTGGGGAGAGGCAGGGAGGAAGCAACTTACCCTCCCTCTTCTCCTGCCTCCTCCTGGCCGAATGAGGGCCGGAAGCGGGTCGGCCGGAAGCAGGGGGCGGGGCTTCGTCATGTGCCCCGCCCCCGTACCTACCCCGGGGGAACTGCGATCCCCCGCGATCCCCCCCAAAATGACCTCTGTGTATAAGCAATACATAACACTGACAACCTCTGGTGTGTGGGGTTCCCCAAAGGGTGATCCTCTCCCCTATGTTGTTTAACATTGATATGCACCCCCTCGCCAGTTGGTTGGTGTTTCAGGCTGGGTTGTCACCACTGTGCTGACACCCAGCTATATCTGTTGATGGGTGGCTGGCCAGATACCATCCTATCAAATCTGGCCAATGGACTGGATGCCGTGGTTGGATGGTTAAAGCAGAGTAATCTGAGAGTGAATCCTTTGAAGATGGAGGTTCTGTGGCTGGGGAGGGCAGGGGTACCAGCTCCCAGCTCTTGACTGCGTGCCTTTAATACCTGCACCAACTGTCAAGAGTCTGAGTGTGATTCCAGACACCTCCCTAGTTACAGAGGTCCAGATCACAAAGGCTGCAAGACTGGCGTTTTTACAACTGCGCCAAGTCAGGCAACTGGCCCCCACCCCTCCCATCCCGACCTAGCCACAACGATCCATGCAATGGTCACCTCTAGGCTGGATTACTGCAACTCGCTCTATGTGGGGCTACCTTTGAACCTAACCGTGAAATTACAGCTTGTCCACAATGCAGCGTCACAGGTGCTTACAGGCACAACAGCAGCAGCACGTATCCAGCCAGTACTTCGCCAGCTGCATTGGCTCCAAGATGAGTACTAGATCCATTTCAAGGTTCTCGTTTTGACTTATAAAGCCCTACATGGTCTGGGATCAGCGTACCTGCAGGACCACCTCTTCTGGTATATCCCCCGGAAAGCCTTGTGCTCGGAAGATCAGAATCTACTGGTGGTACCTGGTCCAAAAGACATCTGGTTGTCCTCAACCAGAGCCATGGCTTTTTTTGCCCTTGCTCCTGCCTGATGGAACTACCTGGTGAAATCCATTCCCTGTGGGACCTGAGACAGTTCCGCGGGGCCTATAAAACACAGATGTTCCACCTGGCCTATGGTCGAGGAGAGCAACAGTTTACCATCATATCTGGCCCTGACCTGCCCCCCCCATAAGAGGAATTAATAACCACTTATGCCATCAGAATGCTTTTAAGATTTAATTTAAATGGTTTTTAGACTAAATTTTATATATGCCTGTGAAACTGTGTTTTTTAAACAATGTTGTACACTGCCCTGAGCCCTCCAGGGGAGGGCGGTATAGAAATACAAAAACAAACAAACAAAACTGTGGGAAGAGCCCACTTTAATCCAAAACTGAGAATGTGCAGGAGAACCCTGCTCCCTCCAACACCGCACTGCAGTGTTTGAAGCCTTTTTCTCCCAGCTTGGCTGACGTCTGGTATCAGATCTTGGCTTGGGAGCAAAAGGCCTTGAGCACCAAAGTATAGCAAGAAGGATTTCACTCCCCTTGGCCTGCGCATTTTGCTTGCAAATGAACTCCCAGCCCTGCTTTAGACATCTTCCTGTCACAGGAAGACGCTACCTACAGGGGGTCCAGCTAAAATAAAATAATAAATAAATAATAAGCTACACTGACCATTTTCCGATGCTCTACCCAAGGGACCAAGGGGAACCCCTGAGGCGGTTGCCATGCCAATGGGGCTCTGCTTGTTCTCAGAGTGCCTAGCCGAGTGCAGCCATTGTCTCTCGCTCTTCCTCCTTACCAGTTTGTCGGGCGGCGTACCAACATCTTCAGAGTTAGACACCGCAGGTTTTTGGCAGTCTGACCAAAAAGCCTGCCCTCCACCAGTCCTACTGTACAGGCCTGCCTTTGCACAGGGCACAAGAATATTAATGAAAACGAATATGCTGCTTCTTATCTGCTGGAATTTGGCAGGAAGGATCCCTTAGCTGATCCGTACAATCCCTGGAAAGTTTGTCCCAGTTGGCTGGAAAACACATTCCAGCTAGAAACGCATGTCACCATTGAAACAAGTGAAAATACAGATTAGATTGAAGAATATGCAAATTGACACAAACAACACTGTGTGCTTCCCTACTAGTCTCTCAGTCTTTGCCTCCCCAGACACCCGCACACACTGATACCAACATATACTTACAGGGATATTGTAAAGTTTACTGGGATAATGTACATTAAGCACTTTGCATACTTTGCATACTCTAAGGTTCTCTAAAAATGATACCTATTATGATTTGGCATATATTTTTAGATTACTGTGTACATTACAGTATATTTTATTGCTTGTGGTTTTAATTAATATTATGCCGTTGAAGAGCAGATATCACAAAAGAGTATAAAAATACATTGCTTAAATAAAATATGAAACCTTGGGGCATGATTCAGCCAAAATTAAGCACTTTAAGGCTGCAATCCTATATGTATAAACTTGGCAGTAAGTCCCATGGAAATTGGAGAAACTGACTTTGGAATATGCACAGATGGAATCAAGCTGCAGATATCATTTTAATATGATTAAGCATCAGCTGAACTCTTTCCTATACAAAATATGTCCAATCTGTGTCCTTTGACCAAAAGCTCCACAACAGAGACTAAAACAATGGCGTAGAAAAGAGCAAGAGTCCAGCAGCACCTTAAAGATTAACAAAATGTCACAGGGTATGATGAAGAAGAAGAAGAAGAGATTGGATTTATACTCCGCCCTACACTACCCAAAGGTGTCTCAGAGCGGCTTACAAACTCCTTTCCCTTCCCCTCCCCACAACAGACACCCTGTGAGGTAGGTGGGGCTGAGAGAGCTCTGACAGAAACTGCTCTTTTTTCAAGAACAGCTCTTATCAGAGCTACGGCTTGCCCAAGGTCATCCAGCCAGGTGCAAGTGGAGGAGTGGGGAATCAAACCCGGTTCTCCCAGATTAGAGTCCGCACACTTAACCACTACACCAAACTGGCTCTCGTGACTCACTGCTCACTTCTTCAGATACAGCTAGAAACTGTGTCTAGCTGTTATCTGAAGAAGTGAGCAGTGACTCACGAACGCTCCTACCCTGCCACAGATTTTTGTTAGTCTTTAAGGCACTCCTGGATTCTTGCTCTTTTCTTCTGCTAGACAGACTAACACGGCTACCCATCTCGATCTAAAACAATGCAATTATTCAAAGCAGATATTTTAAAAAAACAATTAAAACACCCTATATCCGAATCATCTAATACATAAAATGTGGACAACACCACTAATCGGAACTATTTCACCTTCTCACAATGAACACGTATTTATGTCATACTTCCTACACAAGTCAAAAGCAGTTAAGTCCACGCGGTTTCAACAAGCTTTTCCAGCAGCACGTGGTCTCAGTTTTGGGCAGGTCATAGAGTAGGTTTAGATTAAGAACCAGTTCTAACCGAGTAGTGCACAGAACAGCAAAAAGACTAAAGCAGCCACTCTGGCACTCCACCGCCAAGAAACTTTAAATGGGCCATAGGAGTGTAATTCCCGTAGCATTCACCCCGATACCAGTCCACAAGAACAACGAGCGCTCCATTAATCAGCACCTGGTCCTGAAAGAGGCATACAAGTGGAGCCACCCCGATCATTTGTTCCTCGTCAATTATCCCGTTCGATTACAAAGGAAAATAAAGTCACGGGGGACAGCTTGTTTTGTTAAGGTATACAGGGGTTTGCACAGCGGAGTTCAATCAGATGTGAAACTTCAAAGGAACAGCTTGCTGGGCGCCTCTACCCCGGGAGCCTAACTCTTTGCACAGTGGGCCCAGCAAGCGGAAAAGGTGAAAGCAGCACCTGTGGCTTTTGAGCAATAGCATCAGAGTTGGGCAAACTGAGCTCAGCTCTTTCAGGAGAGCCGGGGCTTCACCGGAGGCCTGGGCCTGGAAATGGTTTCCAGGGTCCAGCTGTGTTCTCGAGAGCAGAGAGGAAGGGTGTTTCCCCAAACATGTGCAGAAAGTCTCCGTCTAGCAACAAATCACCAGAGGCTTTCACCTCTCAGGGACTATAGACGAGCTCGTAGCTGACATGGGGCCCATGGGGCCTGGCCCCCTAGTGTTTCTTCTGGGCCCCCTCCCTCTTGGGCTACCCTTAAAGTGCTCCAACTTACCACCTGCATGGTACTTTCATTTAATTAGCTGGCAGGCCCCCTGAGGCCCCCTCCAAAAAAATTCCCTAGCTACGGGGCTGACTATAGACCACCAGAAGGCACAGCCAGCCTAGAGGCCTGAGCTTCAAGACCTCTCTTTTCTAGAACCAAACGGCCGTTTAGGACAGAAATGAAGGCACCTGTCTGCAATCCGGGTCTCCTCTTTCCATTTCAGTGTCTCTCCTTTTCTGGTATAAAACGGGCAAATTCGGGAAAGGTGTGTGGTGGACCAGATCCAACGGTACACGGTCACTGATTTCTAAACCTAGCTAGCTAAACTATGGAGTAAAAAAAAAAAAAATGCCCCCTAACACATTGCTTCTGTTCCATGGTCTGTAGGAAGGAAACGCCAGGGAAAACAAAGTTGGGAATCTGTAATCCTAAGGGGAGGGGAAAACACAGACAGGCATTCCTGAGATAAGAGCTTCAAACGAAACCCCAAAGTTCTGCCAAAAACACAATGAGAGGAATGGTTGGCAGAGACACATTTCCCGAAGAAGAGGAAGTCGACGAAAGCAGCAGGAGGACCCCCCAAAAGTTACCAGGCAGCGACATCTTCCCAACAGACACGGGCCACCTCGCCTCCTCCGTCCCACTCGAGCCAGAAGGGCCCCGCAAGAAACCCCACACACAAAAGCGCTCACCGATTGTGAAGCTATAGCCGTCGATGCTGAAAGTGGCGCTCCGGCATTTTTTGAATCCTTCTTTTCTGTTGCTCGGCTCCGTCATGGTGATCCAGACCAGCCGGGGCAGGAGGCTAGCAGGGGCGGCTCAGGCGGCGGCGGCAGCAGCCGCGTCTGTCTCCCTCCCTCTCTTTCCCCCGGCGGGATGCGAGTTGCTGCGAGCCGGCCGCGAATCGCCCTTGAACCTCTCCCTCCGTCAGCCCTCGCCGCCGACTTCTTCTCACCGCGCTCAAGCCGAGAGAGAGAGAGAGAGAGGCGCGCCGAGCCGTGTGTTTCTCCACCCCCTGCAGCCCGTCAGCGCAGCGCGTTTACTGTTACCCGCTCGGAGTTTTTAACCACCAGTTCGGAGCGTGCGGAGACCCAAGCCGAGCGGGCGACTCGTGTGAACGTTCCCAGGCCAAACACATCAAGAGTGTGCCAGGTGTCCTCGCGAAGAAGACACGGAGTATTCCGTGCTGCCGCTGCTGGAACAGAAACAGGCGTGGGGGACTCATGCGCCGGTGGCAAGAGACTCGCAGCCTAAACAGTTACTCACTCCGCACAAATGGAACTTGGCAAGGCATTTAGAGACCATTCTGGTCTCAAAATAGCAGAACTCCGGGAGCATCGAGTTATCCTCACCAACTTAAAAGCTTTGGTTAGGGAGCCTCTGAATAAAGACTGGGGGAAAGTAGGTTGACAGGATTGTTTTTAAAAAGTTGGCACTGTGGTTTGTTTTACATCTAGGAGCTGACCCACCCCCAAGCTAGAATAAAAGCAGCCAGGCAGGAATGGCAGTTTCAGTGTGAAAGCAGCCCTAAGCAGTTATGCCCTCCCTCACCCTCACTCCACCTCCATGCAGGTCTTTCCCATTAAGTCCTTGATGAATGGTGTTGTTTTAAGTCTGCAAAAATCACAGAATGAAGTGTAATGCATAGTTCTGCCTCTAGACAGCTCCATTACCATTAAGAGCTACATATGGAATACTTTTTCCATCTAGGCAGCATAGATGAAAAGATATGCCTTGCAAAATTCAGTTTTCAGGGCAACCTTTACTAGTCAAGGAGTTCTAGATTTGGAAACTATATACAGGCACAGTTGCTCCAAAAGGCTTTTTTTGTTTTAAAAAAAGGAGGGGGGATTTTTATTTATTTATTTTATTATATTGATACCCCACCCTCCCCGCGAACGGGCTCAGGGCGGCTTACATAAGGCACAAAAGTGCATATAATATATAAAAGCTAAAAACAATTAAAATTTGGTTCCATCAGATGCACAATAGAAAACTCCTAACATTTTGTATAACAGGAGGGGAGGGCCACAAACAGATATTACCCGGCCCTCCGGCAGTATCGCTCTGTGGTAGAGCGGTAGTGGCAGTGGCAGCTCCTACTCAAAAGCCTGGCGGAAGAGCTCCGTCTTACAGGCCCTGCGGAACTGCACAAGGTCCCACAGGGCCCTGATCTCCTCCGGGAGGTCATTCCACCAGATAGGAGCTGCCACTGAAAAGGACCTGGCCACCAAGCGGTGACCCCGACCAAAGTGAGGGGTATTTACACAGAATGCTGTGCCCCCCCCATTGACATGAATGGGCAGGTGGGCTAGGAGGGTTGCCAGGCCTCCTGTTATGGTGGGAGACCTCCCACGGGCAACTCTTTCTTCCCACCGCCACTCAAAGTGGTGGCAGGAGAAAAATCAGCCCAAAAAAATCACAGTCAAGCTGACAGCATGCTACCATAAAGTTTCCAGAAATTCCTAGAGAGGGCTGACATCACTGCCAGGTTTTCCCCAGAGGTGAGTCACGCTTCACCAAAAGCACCACCCTGTGTGTCGTTAGGCCTTATTCAGAGGAACTCAAGAACACCGACAGAAACTCCTTCATCCATGAATCAGTAGAGACAACGGTTAGATCCAGCCAGCTTTTCTGCTCAGTCTCACCGAATTCCCTTCCATACTACAGTCCCTATCTCACCTGGGCCTTTCTCCCCAATGGGGAACCAAAGATGCTTCTATTGTTCTCCTCTCTTCCATTTTATCCTGACAGCAACTCTGTGAGATAGGTTAGGCTAAGTGTGTGACACTGGCCCAGGAAGCTTCCATGGCATAGTGGGGATTCGAACCCAGTTCTCCCAGATCCTATCGAGCACTCTGACCACGATACATGAGTTGCTTTTTTTGTACATGAAGATCTCATGATTTTCAGCCTTGCCTTTTTGGGTCGTCCAGGCTAGCCCATCAAATCTCAGAGGCTGAGCAGGGTCAGCCCTGATTCGTACTTGCAATGGAAGACCTCCAAGGAAGACCAGGGTTGCGACACAGAGGCAGGCCATGGCAAAGCACCTCTGACCATCTCTTGCCTTGAAAACGCTACGGGGTCATCATGAGTCAGCTGTGAACTAACAGCAAAAAAAAAAGGAGGAGGTGCCTCCTTCCTTCTTCACCATCATTAAAACTGGTTGGCTCCAACCCAGTGGTATTTTGAGACCAGAATCGTCTCAGAATTTCGCTTTGCCTCTGACCCCAGTGGAAACCAAGGATGACTTTATGTTCAACAAACAGCTGACTACCCATTGGCTGTCTGATTGAGCCCATCACATGATCACCAAAATTTAGTCGCAATCAAAACAAGCTGCCTTTCGAGTAGTTTTATGTTTCCACTGCAGCAGCATTCAAATGGCAACTGACCAGGGAGCTGCTGCTTCCCATTTGTTTTGATGATATATGGCCTCACAGTATCATGAAGAGCAGGGCTATTTTTGGGCAGGAACGCACAAGAACGGAGTTCCGGCTGGCTCCCACGTTGGCCACGCCCAGCAGGAACTCATTAGCATAATAGACCACACCCAACAGCAGAAACCCATTAGGACTGGCTACAGTGGTGTATGGCCTAACATGCAAAGGAGCTCCTGCTACAAAAAAAGCCCTGGGTTTTGACAACAAACAAGGTAAACAGAATAAGAAGCAAAAGGTGGGTGTGGCTGGATGACCACACTTCTGGTAACATGGGGGTGTGGCCTAATATGCTAATGTGCTGTGTTGTCAAGGGTGTGGCCTAATATGCTAATACGTTTCTGCTGTTGGGTGTGGCCTATTATGCTAATGAGTTCCTGCTGGTCTTTTTCTACAAAAAAAGCCCTGATGAACTGTATTGGAGCTCACGGTGCCGCTTTTTCCAGCTCTGCGGTTGGTAACATTCATCAAGCCAGAGCATGTGCCAAGCTTCCAAGATCTAGCTAGAGGTGGCAGTGTGAGAACCCATACAATAGTTGGCAATTGAAGCCACTCAGCACTGTCAGCCAGTCAAAGCAAGCAAGATAGGAACACTGGGGGAAAAGAAACCCTCCCAGTTTTTCACCCACTCCACCCAAGAGGTCCAAGACAACCAAGGAAAGCACCCTGTTTGATAGCTGAGGTTGCTTCTACAATTGGGAAGGGGCCAGAGATGGCCAAGGAGGGAGAGAATGCACATGTGCCCCAGACTATCTGCAGTCAGGAGGACTCAAATGCTCCCACGAGGAAACAGGCAAAATACAGCAGAGCTGGAACACAGAGTCGGAGGGCATCTGCTTTGCGTGCAGTAGGTCCCCGGTTCAGTCCCCAGCATCTCCAGTTAAAAAAGGAACAGGCAGCAAGCAATGAGAAAGACCTCTGCCTGAGACACTGGAGAGCTGCTGCTGTTTGGGGCAGACAATACTGACTTCAATTGACCAAGGGTCCATTCAGGATAAGGCAGCTTCATGTGTTCACGCAGGTTTCACCCATCCCTCACCCCAGCACAGTCAAAACACATCTCTCATGTTTTTTAGAGCATGCAACTGAGGATGACAGACAGATGGACAGACCATAGAATGAAAGCACTGCGATAACATGCAATGCACCAAGTACTGATCATCCCAACATGACCAATTTTGAACAACAAAAATGAGACACTTTCCCCCAAAAGTTCAATGGTGCTGATTGCAATTAGCAGGCAAAAGAGAACAGTGATCAAGTGAATCTCACGATTTGTACCCAGAAGTCCATTCTTCCTTAGGGAGGAGGCAGCAGGCGCTTTGGTTGCAGCCCCAGTCAATCACCCTAGTCTCATCTGTTACGCTCATGAACCATCCCAGCTAATTCGAAGGTCTTGTGGCTTTCATCTGCCACCTCATGGCGATCTGATCCTCCCTTGGGGTTGGCTCTCTCCTGGAAGATCTCAGGGAGGCCTTGAAAGAGTGGCTTCCACTTAGACCTGCAATGTCTTGGATGACTCATAGCCTTCTAGGCTCATTTACTTCAGGGAACTTGGAAGGATGTGACTGCTTTCGGTGGCAATATTAGCCCTTTCTTCTGATCTGCTGCAAATATTTCATGATATTAATTTCCCAGGGGTTCATAAACCTTTTGTTCACATCACAACATGAATGGCATGTGGACTTGGAGAAAACAGGCCTTAAACAACGATACGACTAAATGACAGGGCTATTTTTGGGCAAGAACGCACAGGAACGGAGTTCCGGCTGGCTCCCAAGTTGGCCACACCCAGCAGGAACTCATTAGCATAATAGGCCACACCCAACAGCAGGAACTCATTAGGATTGGCTACATTAGGGGTGTGTGGCCTAACATGAAAAGGAGTTCCTGCTCCAAAAAAAGGCCCTGGGTTTTGACAACAAACAAGGTAAACAGAATAACTAGCAAAAGGTGGGTGTGGCTGGATGACCACACTTCTGGTAACACAGGGTTGTGGCCTAATAGCCTAATGAGCTGCGCTGTCATGGGTGTGGCCTAATATGCTAATGAGTTCCTGCTGGGCTTTTTCTACAAAAAAAGCCCTGCTAAAAGATAATCCCATACTGATCCTTCATCATCATCATACAGCCATCTAAATAGAAAGGCCTTCCATTCCTATCACAAGAGGCTCAGTCATAAACCCGTCAGGCCTTCAAAATCAAGGAATCTGAAAGATGGGGAAAGCCACTGTGGGTTTTCTGCTATGAGCCCCTGCTGTTACAAGAAACTTGAGGAGAAGGATTATTAAAGGGCCACCCTCAAAAGGTCAAAGAAGGCATGATGGGTCCTCAAATGGGCCTAACCAGGTTAAAAAGGTAAAGGTTCCCTTGCTCGAAAGCCAGTCGAGTCCGACTCTAGGGTTGCGGTGCTCATCTCCGTTTCAAAGCTGAAGAGCCAGCGCTGTCCGAAGACGTTTCCGTGGTCATGTGACCGGCATGACTAAACACCAAGGCGCACGGAACGCTGTTACCTTCCCACTGAAGTGGTACCTATTTATCTACTTGCAATTTCTTGCTTTCGAACTGCTAGGTTGGCAGGAGCTGGAACTAGAGACGGGAGCTCACTCCATCATGCGGCACCCGGGTCTCGAACTGCTGAACTACTGACCTTCCACAGCCTGCAGTTCAGCGTCTTAACCACTTGAGCCAGTTTAGGTCTTCATAAACACCTTGAAATGTACTTGAAGGCAAATCAGCACAGACAACCCACTGCCATCAAGAGATGGTGTGCCATTTTTTAGATCTAGTACAACCTCTAAAAGTTAGGTATTACCCATTCTCCTTCACTTCCACTAATTAAAATTAAACTACAGAGTTTAAAATCTCCCTA